ATCAGTTTTAATAGTCTATAATGGCCATTATAAAAGTATAACGTACAATAAGCTTATACGACGTAGGAAATAAAGGCAAGCAATCAGTCAAATGTGCAGAATCAGTGTACACAGTTACATAAATTAATATTATTAATTTATCTGTGCATTCAGACAAAACACGTTACCTGAGAACAAGTAATAGACTAGATTCAAAAGACCAACGATGGGGAATATGTCATCAGATATAGACAACAAGATTAATTAAATATTACTTATAACAAATATAGTGAGATTAGATCCAGAGGTAGATCCTTGATGAACCATCCGACGTGCACAGCTCTAATCGCTGCAGTGCATGCCAGAGTGTGTGTGTTTGTGGTCTTGTGATGTGCGTTTTCAGCACTGTAGTGTAGACGAAGAGTTGTTCAGAAATGCTGGGTGAAACGCCAGTGTGGACGTGGATCGTTTCATTCTAAAACGCCATTTTAAAACTTAAATGTATTAGTGTAAACAGGGCTAAAAGTCTTGTGCATAGACCCCTAGAAAAATTCTTTATATTGGCTTCGAAAAATAAACAATGTTGTCATCAGGAAATGCACTGCATTTTATGTTATTTTTAAATCCTAGCCAAATAAACACAGGCAGCAATGGTTGGAGAACCCTAAAAAACTATTAAGGAGTTAAAAGGTTCTTTGTAAGGCAGTGGTGCTATCTAAGGTTTTTTTTTTTTTTTTCTCAAGGCAGTTTGAGTGCTGGTAGAGCCAGAGACTAGATCTAAACTGTTTCTTTTCCTTTCTACACACAAATCACCAGATCTTTTAGATGCTGTTGTTGAAAATGTCAGTAGAACACTTTACTGAACATGGTATACTGTGTTAGATGCTTGTAATCTCCATCTGTATAGGTACGGAGGGGGTTGGCGAGGGGGCAATTAATTGCAAGTAAAAAAGGTGTGTTCCAGAACACACCCACTGATTGTTATTGCCATAAATCAATAGTAGCTCCAAAGGCGTTTAGGAGCCAAAAATGTATCACCCTAAAAGTGGCACTTTGGTGAGCTTTTTTAAACTGCTGAAATTAACTCAAAAATAACTTTGCTTCGGCCAGATCCAGTTCAGTTCATACGTTTCAAGTGAAGTAGGGGTGTTAAAGTACAATTATAAGTATAATTAGGAAAATGTGTAAATGTGTACCTTTCCTAAAACAACAAAAACACAATAATTGTGTATTAAATTTAGGATTCCGTAAGCTTTAAAACTTAAATCTCTATTTATGAAAATGCTAGCACTGTCTTCATCTAAAACAGTAGGTGCAGTGGACAACAACTGTTCATCCACTAAGTGCTGCATCTGGCATATTCTTTGTGAATGGCTCCTTAGGCCCCTTTTACACAAATACATTTTAGTTTTAGAATGCGTAACATTTGCTATGGTTACGTCTTAAATGCAGACTGCCAAAATGGCTGCCATCATTCACTGCCTGATTGAGGCTGTTTCTCAATATCAAGTACACAAAATTTGGACTTGCATCCTTTCATTGCAAATTCAGACAGAAATTACAATCTGAGATGGACTTGCACTGCTCTCAGCTTGAAAAGTGCATGCAGAGCTCCTGTAGAACCCCCTGGAAACATCAGTGAAAACAGGGCAGTTGGTATACTACTGTGGTCTTTTCTGCAAAACCTAACTGACTGTATTCGTTGTGGGAATGCATGAACTGAACCATGACCCTCGTGCCATGATTGTTCGGGCACATACATGTACTGTTACTCTGTACAGGAGTGCTGTAAAGTCCAAGATAACCAGTGCTTTTTTTGAACTTTTTGAGTAGTGAGCTTGATCATGCCAGTACAAATGAAGGGGTTACTTAACTTAAGTGCGTAAAGAGAAACATATCACATGTACCCTCACTGTACAACAAGCATATTAACTATCTTCACACACTGAAGGAGTATTGGTTGTCTACAGACTGCAATACAGGGGCATGACATGAAGGGGACGTAATTTGTAGTAGAGGCATAATTTGAAGTTTTGGAGACATAACTTCATGCACAACTATGTTGTAGGCAAGATCGCACTGTATCCATCAGTTATTAAAGTCTATACCTACTCCACACCTACACCCATCACAGTTATTAACATCTACACGTACCCCAAGCCGTAACCCAATCATTAGTTCTTAACATCTATACCTACCACAACCCTAAAATCAACCATCACAGTTATTAACGTACAATAGCGAGTTGTAGAGGCTTTCATATTTGTACTGTTATAAGCAAGCATAGGGGCAACTGTCATGATAAAACTGATGTGGTGAGTGAAGTTGCTAAATGAATGAATATATCAAATGATTAGGTTGTGGATGAATTTAAGGAAAACTCATGAAAACATTTGCTAAACAAGTTCTGTGGTAAGTATGTCCACAACACATCTCAGGTGGTTCAATGGGATCTTAATAACTGCAAGTTATGCCTCTAACTTACATGCCCTTCATGTTATGCCCCTCTCTCTAAGTCCGCAAACAGATACACTAGCACTGAAGTGATATATTTTCGTTTGCGTTTTTTTTCCCGAATTTATATGCAAAAAAATGTGTCACATACATGAACCTTTCTCATTGAGTCTGATGTGTACTGATTAATCCATTCCAAAGAAAACACAAAGCATTATAGGACTGCTCCAAAAAGAAAGAGGAATAGGCTACATCCACTACTGCATAAAGAGGAAGCAAAGTTTTCCTCGTCAAATATGTGCAGGATTATCCCAAGATGCAAAGTTTATTTCAGGTAATCAGTGGAATTTTGATACATTTCTTGTGATACTTGCTTGTGCACGTTTGCATTTGTAAACAAATTCTGAACAGAGACTGGCAGTACCATAGACATTAGAATAGGTGGCAGCCGTGTTGATCTAATGGTGCAATGGACCATGAGGGGTCTAGCTTTCTTTATGGACAGTACGACAAAGGTATGAACACAAACGCCTCCCTGCAGCAGAGGTGTGCCTGTCACTGATTGCAGCAAATAGTGGTTCTCATCTATCCGCCACATTTTGTCTTTACTTGCACTGTGTTTGTCATAGTTATATGTGGCTCAAATAATGGCATTCTGTATTTTGCCTTTCGCTTGTACTGTGGCTCTGAACTGTCAAAAAACTTTGTGAAAAGCGCAAAAAAATGAAAAATGAATTAAATCTGGTTTGAATTTTTTAAATGTTTTTTTTTTCATGAAGGACAAAGTTTTGGAGGCAGTGTTGCAATATGATTAACACAACGTGGGTTTAGATTAATTTTTTAACATGCGAAAAGTAGAGTAAAAAATTTGGATTCAGTGTGCAGAAATCTTTACATTTGACAATATAATTAAGTTCAAAAACAGGAGTCAGAATCAATGAGGTTTGGATGACCTAACCACAGACAGGGAAAGATGAATAGGGAAGGGACACTTCCACTTCCAAACTTGGCTTTAGTCTCATTTCACAAAAAAAAATAAAATAAAAATAAAAAATTCTACCAAGCAGATAGTATAAGTGTTTTACAAAGACCTCACTCACAAAAAAAAATATTGTCATTAAGAAAGACCTAATTAAATGATACCTCTCATCCTAGATACGAATCCTAAACTTAAAACACACATAAGGCTTAGGGTGTCAAGTCATGAACTGGAAGATTTGTGTGCTTCAAAGTTAAACTTGTAGTCTCTTTTATTCTGGCTTTAGGTTATGTAAAAGTAAGCACCACTGAGCAATGAATGCTCTTAAATTTGCTGAGAAACAGCCATAGAGATCAGTTTGCATGTTAACACATAGCTTTCTTATCAATTCTTATCAGTCACAATTTTGGCTATAAAAAATGTGTTTTTTTTTTTTTTTTTTTGATCGAAATGATTAGGATGATAGGCAAGTTCAAACTTGACTAAAACATACCCAAAAGTTTTTCAGCAGTTTAAACAGAAGCTCTGGGTCATTATTACCTCCAGACTGATGTGTATTCTGAGGTGTTGATCATAAATAGTCAACATAAGGACAGGGTACAACCCATTGTCCCAGAACACCATGCAGGAGCCCAGGAGGCCTGTAATCTCAGAACCATCCAAGAGATCTGCTTTTCAGGCATGACAGGAAAAGCAGCTGCTCTGGAATGAGCTCAGAGTCTGGCTTAAGATCACAAGAGCACCAACCTTGACATCACTATAACAGTACTAAGACTAAAACATATGAATATGGAAAGGTCGAAAACAGAAGGTGAACTCGCATACCAGGGCAAATGTGCACTTCAAGCAGATCAAATGGAGAAGGATAGTAATAAAGTATTAAAAATAATCTGTCAAATGTTTGGAACAAAAATAAACAGCTGTACACAAGTGTGGAAGTATCTCATTTTCAAGGTAAGAATGTATAGAAACTAAAATTTTGAATAGCCATTCCAATCTCACTTGCTCTTTTTAAAAGTTGGGTTTTGAGTTTAAACAGATCAGGAAGTGATGTTTTTGAGAGGGTAACTGTGTGTCTGCCTATCAAACAGAGCAGAGTACTTTGTTTTGAATTGGCAGTCTGGACAGGCAGCTGGTAGTCCTCTAGGGAAACAGATGGTCATTAGCTGTAGCAGGACAGTGAGCTGCCCCTCCCCCAGGCAGGGCTGGATTTCATGTCTCAGAGGTCAAGTGGATAAAAGCATTATTATTATGCACACCTACACAGCAAACGTAATTTCTGTAAACATGAAAATGGTGAAGAACATTCACAATATTGTCAATTGAAGTAATTTCTAAGACTGCATTTCATCCCTTGCCTTTCAACCCTTTGCATGCCAGTACCAATTTTTTTTAAAGCTTGTGCAGTTATCATCAAATCATACAGTGACCACTGCAAAACATCTTGGTCATAGATAAGTTGAAATAGACACAAATAACCAGACAATAAAACTGCATATAAAAAAAAAAAATAATAATAATAAAATTAAAAAAAAAAAAAAATAATAATAATATATATATATATATAAAACATTGATTCAAAACTCACATGTGTGGACTGAGCTCATAGAAGTTTCTGTTGCGATACTCCTCCACCTTTTCTGCTGAGTAAATGGACAGGGACTTGTAAGGATTCATAGAGATTACTACACTGCCGATGTATGTCTGTGGAAAAAAAGCAAAAGCAAATAAACCACAAATGAACAAACAAGAAAAAGCACAAGCACAAAGCACAAGATAAGAAAAGATATAATATCCATAATTGATTTGTATAAGAAGATGCCTTCATCTTCACAATCCAGATGGGAATTCCTGGGCATTGTTGAGACAGGCGGGGGGCCCGAAAGCAACTGAACAAGCTGAACAAAATCAACATTTTTCTGTATCAAAAGGAAGCATCAACTACGAAGGGTGCTTAAAAGTTGCCGAAACAAACATCAGTGTGTGAAGTAGCCCATTTTTAAAGACTAAACAAATGTAGTCTTATTTATTCCCTTGATTTCTTTGCTTTTGAAGTCTCTCTTAGTGATATTAAAACATAATGAACCTGAACTACATGCAATGCAGTATTATCATTTCTTTTCATAATTTTGATGAGATTGAACAATAATACAAGCATGACTAGATGTGCCCACCCATTACATACAGCATAATTGCACTATAAATGTAAAAAAAAAAGAAAACTCCCAACTCCATGAGGAACATTATGATGGTGGGAGTCCCCAGAATATGATATCAACACAATACAAAATTATTGCAATTTTAAATATACTGCTATATTCTGCAATATATTGCAAAATTATTACCTTTTGCCAACTTCAGATTTTGTATTTAAAGGGAAAATGTGGCAACATCTGTTTTAACTAAACAGAAATATTTATTTGTTTATCACACATCAGTTTTGTTTCTAAAGTGAAAAATAGGATTGTCGAGCAAACAAAAACTAAGCAACATTTTAATGAAATCGTGTCAAATGTTGTATGCCCCTTTCTACAAAGCTGCTATCTTTATTGTAGTAGCTTGCATGCTAAAGGTGTATCAATATTTTCTCCCACCTTGAACACATGCATGCACACACATACACACAGAAAACAAATCTGAAGCAATAGGCAGCAGTAAGAACTTTGGGGTTGCTCAAGCCTTTCTCAAGTGTCTCATCTGAGTCTTGTATTAATGATGGAAGAGGGCATCGATTCAGTCAAGAATTGAACCTAAGGCCTTTGGGTTACGAGTCTGAATCTCTAAACATTAGGCCACACACCTTTTTACACTTATTCCCATAAATGCATTTGTTCCTTTGTTCCAAGTATACAGAGCAAAGTCTAAAGATAGCAATAAATGCAAAGACCTTTGTTTCATAATGTCTGCTTTATCTAAACTGGACCATTCATAGATGTTTCTGACAAGCCATCGATTAGATAAGAAGACATTTGACTGTATGATATTTATTGTAAAGTTAGTGTCAGGGAAAGAACGCAATATGACAGACTGTGACTATTTATTTTTTATTTTTTTCAAATTAAATGGAGGGTGGATACTTTTAATAAAATATTGTTGAAGAACCACTAGTAAGGTTAAAACTTTTTTTTCTCTGTAGTATTTACTCATCATGTCATTCCATACTCATTTTGTTCTTTTGAATGCAAAACCTTTGATGAATCTTCATAGAAAATATGAACCGCATTTATGATTTTTTTGGAGCTCGGTAAACTGTTGTTCTAAGGAAAACAAGAGCTCTATGAAGACTAAAAAAAGCAAGTAAATTATTACAGTTTATTATAGACTAGAATAATTTTCCAACACACTATGTTAAGTTAAAGTTACCAATTTGCAAGAAGTGGAAAAAAGAAAAATACACACACTTTGGCCTAAAAAATTTAAATTTTGGTCACCATCATTGTCTGTGATTCAAGGATACACATTAAATATAGAAAATAATTTGTATTACGAACTTGCAGCTATAAGACACTGATAACTTGATATTAAACTAATTTAATTAAATGTATTTTATTTCTGGACTAATAATTAAGTGCGTTCCACCTAAATGTGCTACACAAAATGCAAACGTGCCATTCAGCCATGTCACTTAATCTTGCCATTTCATGATACTGAATGCAAATTATCAAGACCCATAGCAACTAATGCAGAAATGCACTTGAAATTTGATATGAAAAATTGGCTAGATGACACACAGTTAAAGTAAATAATAAGACTCCAAGAGAATGTCTAAATTTGGATAATGATGGACTTCTGTTTTGGTTTAAAGGGAGGATTTACACAATTACAATTGTCATCAGTTACTCACCCTCAACCTGCACAGAATGTGTCTTTTAAAAGAAGCAGATAAAAAAATATATATTTTTAAGACTGTAGGTAGGAATGGAGGCCAATGAGGACAAGAATTGAATGGGTAATTTCTCTTTAAAATTTCAAAATTGAGCCCATTTTGATGTCAGACAAACATTTAAAAAACAACTGTGCTTATGTGTGCAAGAAGAAGTTGGAGACTGTATTTTTGTATTTTGCATGTAGGCATATTATGACTGGGGTTGGTTGTTTAAAACTAGATTAAAGACACATCTCTTTGCATTATTAGCATACACATGAAACACATTTTTTTAAAAAAAATCCAAATCCTCTAAAGGATTGTTAGTCTGCATTATTTAGGGCAACCGGAGCCGGGAACACTTAACAAAAGACATTATAATTAGAATGGCATCTGCACTTATGTTAGTTTGCTTTTATTACTCTCGAGGTTTCCATAATCCTGGACCAGGCTGTATCCTGAGCAGACGACGTAGTGGTCATGGAGGAGTGGAGAGCATGAAACTGATTCCTGTAAGACCAACAGTGACAGATAAGTCTTTACATTGATTGTGAGAAGCCAGCCTGTACACCAGCCGGTGACCTCTCCCACCTGCAGCTTCTCCACAATGGATGTCCAGCGTTCTCCAGCTTTCGGTGCCTAGGCTGCAGCTCTGCATAAAAAGTTTGGCCAGAGGAGAAATGGTCGTGCCTAACTGAGCATGGTTTCTTTTAAGGTTTTTTTCTTCACTTTTGTCAATTTGTGAAGTTTGTTCCTCACTGATGTCGCCACTGGCTTGCATGGTTCAGGACTTGTGGAGCAGTGCAAAGGATTTGCTTTTTAGTGTTTAAACTTTCAGCAGTGAAAATTAAACCACACTGAACTGAACTACTGAATTTACTATAATCTTCTATGTGAAGCTGCTTTGACACAATCTACATTGTAAAAGCGCTATAGAAATAAAGATGAATTAAATTGAACTGTTGTTTGGTTTGCAAATGTTTTCAAGACCTATTGGCAGGGAAAAAAAGCAGGACAGAACACTGAGAGTACACACTATCTTCCAATGATTTCTTCATTATTCTTAATTTATCTGTGCAGTGGGAACACTTTCAGACTAAACCACACTTTTAATCACATTTGATGTTATTTGACTGTCTGGAGCAGTGACGCATTAAAATAAGAACACATCCAAATAAAGATAAATTGATTTTAAGCAAATACTTACATAGATCTCATTGTGATCGAATCGCTTTTTTAGATTCTCAATGAATGACTCTTCTGACAAGGGCTCTAGGAGGACCATGTCCCCTACCCCTATCATATTGTCGAGCAGTGATGTTTTCACCTCCATCGCTGAACAACACCCCTGCAGAAAAACCAAGACAATCAAATATTAGATAATGAGTTTTGTAGGCTTTAACAATGGTGTAAGCGTATTAGTGTTCAACATACAAAAGAAATGCAATCCATACTGACAATGGCTTGCTTTGCATTCATCTTTTCTGTTTGGTTTAAATATTTAAATAACTAAAACTGTGTAGACAAAATTAAATTGTATAACTATAGACATTAAACAAACCAAAAATTATATAAAAACTTAAAGTATGGAAGTATAATCCAGCTTTTACTTTATTAAAACACCAATCATTATTGTTATTTTTAAAGATCAGTTCAGCCTTTTTTAGATTATTTTACACTTCTATTCCTACTTTCCCTGCAATGTCCTTCTAATAAAGTTGGTTGCAATTATGCTGAAACCTGTTATTGATAATACCTCATTATCAGCTTCTTGTACTTCTAAACTAATAACATGCAAATACATTAAGTACTTGCAAAATAGCACTTTTCAAGATCGGCATTTTCAGTTTTATACAGGACACCATGGACACAAGACATTCCACTGGGAATTATATAATAAAAGTCTTTCCACTGCAGATGACCCACATATACTCCCAAGACATCTAATAGGGGAGCCATCGAATTTTTGCTAATTTCTCACTAAACATAGTGAACTTTAGAAATAAACAATGCAAATGTTTGCTTTAAAAGACTTTGGTGTCTCCAAAATGTGTCTGCAAAGTTTCAGCTCAAATTACCCATCGATCATTTATTATACCCTATTGAAAAATGTCAATGTTTGGGTCAGAGGGAAAATGTAAGACTGGAAGTTTCTGAATGGTTATTTTAATGTAGTTGTTGGAGTTTATTCAGCCTTTCTGATACTATGAATGAGTCAGACACAAATGGCATTACAAAATTTGCCGTACACACAAATGCACATGCTTTTGACATGTTGCACTGTTTTTTGCATGCCTATTCGTGGCAAATAGGAATGCAAAAATATGCTGCTTTATGAAGAATCAAAATGATATTGAACAAAATAAACATGATTTAACATAAACAAAACTGGGACTCCTGTTGTGCGATTAAAATGTCCATGTTTCTAGGTGTACTGATATGCATTGTAAAGATTAGAGCTGTTATAAACTACGTAGTGATGTTAGTGTCTTTTCTTTGTTAAGAAAATTCAGTTTTAAAAACTTGCTTGAGGTAGAGCTTTTTTTTCTTGAGGTATTTTCTTACTTGCCAATTCTGCCTTGAGCATATACTAGGAGTTAAAACTGACTCTTGGTTATATACACCTGTCAAACTATTTTGTGGGTGGGAAAAACCACACTCTCTGCTATGTCTCGGTGCAGTGAGGTGGGCCTAAAAAATTCACTGGGATTTGGATCTTGATTTAATTTTAAGATTTAAAAAAGACCTAATTTGTTTCTACTGAGTAATATGGCTGTGTACAAAATCAAAGGTTGATTTTGAATAATAGGGACCCTTTCAGCAAACCCATCATGTAACATCGAATTGTCCTTTCACAGTTAAACTGCAAGGGGAGGCAATTCTTCCCTTCTCTGGTCACTAATCCAGGTGTCAATTGCATTCAGGGCCTTGATACCAGGCTTTACTGTGTCCCTAAAACCCCTATGCGCTGTTCAAACAAATGTGCAATGACAAAACGTGATGCTCAGCATAAAAAGCTCCCTCAATAAAAGCTAACATTTCCACGCCCAGCATGTCCTCTATTCAAAAGACAAAGCTCCCTGCACCACAAGTCCTTGCCACAGTGCAAACACTAGCAAAGAAACAGGTCACAAATAAAGTGCACAAAATATAAAGTTGTGGTTTGTTGATAACATAAACATGCACCATGGTAGACTTAATATGTTTAATGTAAACAAAGGATTAAGAGGTCGGAGCTAACTGCAAATCTTGAAATGACGTGGCTGAAGGAATCTATGTCCATCCTTATTGCCATATCCTATATTAAACTAAACAAATGTTTATTTCACCCAGAGTTTAATGTAGAATACCTCCTACTGTGTTTAACTCATACAGATTTAGAATTTTATTTGCATTTTTCTCACACTTTAATGTTTCAGATCAAACTAATTGAAATATTAGTCAAAGATAGCACAAGTAAACCATAGACTGTAAGATATGGACCAAGTATCTATGATGTCACTCATAGGTTTCTGAACCTATGCACGTCATCAGGCATACCAAACAAGGGCAAAGAGACAGAGAGTGAGCGGAGCTACAGATGCCTGCTAGCATTTTGCTTAGACTGGCTTTTCTATCGGAGAAATGCTTAAAACTTCATTACCTGCGACTCATTTGTTCTGACCACATGTGCTTGGCTGTTGTAAATGCTGTTGTTATACATTGAGCCACCAAACATTGTTCTTATGACATTTTTTTATAAGAGGAAAACACAAATTACATCCAAATACTTCAGATATAGGCTGTGTTAGTAAATGCTAGGCTATTTATGAAATCCAGGCATAACACTGTATGACAGCATTTCAGTTTTAAAGCCTACACCTAATCAATCTTTCAGATACTGGAGTGCTTTACAGTTCTAAAGAAAAATATAAATGATAAATTATATTAAATAAAACAAATACATTTATTGATATGGTATATAAGTATATAATTTCAATCACCTGGAAAATGGAGGCCACGTAAGTGGTTTGTAAGCACAATTAGCTGAACACAGCATGGCATAACATCTGATAAATGTAAGAAATAATTCCTGGGACCTGACTATGTAAAGCCACATAAAACAAAACAAAAATACAATCTATATGCCGAGATCAGCAGCTAATCAGCCGGAATTAGCTGGTGAAGTGACAGCGACCAGCGAGACCTAGCTGTCCCTCAAGTGGCCACGCCCTAAGTATGCAAATTTAATATAACCTAATTTAAAAGATACGGAAGTGTTAACAAATTTTTTACCCCCCTCACAGATGTCATGAAGGGTAACATTAGCTATATGATCCAAAATCGTTTTTTGCACCAGGCGTTAAACACCTTTTTTCTGCTGTAAAGTTGCCCATTTTCGATAGAAATCTGCTCTACATGGAGCGAGGACTAGCGGAATTTTGATGAATTGCAGTTTCAGTTACTTCCATATTTGCTTCACGAGGGAGAGCGGGAGGTTGCCGCTTGAAGTAAACTAGTGATGCGCAGGTTGTCTCAGGTTGGATCAAAAGCTAGACATCATGGCAAGATCAAAAGAAAAAGAAATGAGAAAGGAATTAACTGAGATCTAACAGTCAGGAAAAGTTTATAAAAACTTTTTAAAGCTTCATGATTTAGCATTTTCAGCTATTTTGAAAATATGTTGTACCATCAAGTGAGATTTGGATTATAAATTGTATCACTTGCGATCACATCGCAATCGCATCACTTGCAGCGGGAGACCAATCGAGGATTAAAACATGACAAAATTTTAAATATGGACCAATTGCTTGCTTTTTAAAAGGTCTAATCATCGTTTAATATTGCCCCTTTTTGCAGCACAGTCTGACAAAATTTCGCAAGCTCAAACTCTAATGTGACTGCTGCATAACACGAAACACACCACGGAACAAAGAAAGGTTATATAATATTACATTTGACTGTAAGTTAGAGTTAGCCTTTGGGCTGGGACACACCAAGCCGATGGTTGGCAGTTGAGCTTTGTCAGTCAGTGAGCATCAGTCAGGCTAGTTGGTTTGGTGTGTTCCACACATTGCCTCTCGTTGGATTACAATCGGATCGCATTGGCCCTAGATTGGTTATTCAGGAATGAATCGGAGCGCAAATGTGACCTTGAAGTGACAAAGCAAGTAAACAAATCAAGTCAGGAAGGAAAGATGTCGGCTGTAATTTTCTTAAATTTCTAACAATATTAATTATTAGATTATCAGACATATTTGCATAAGCGAATCCCTCTGTGATGAGTGATAATTATGGTGATAATGGAACTAAACGCTGCTTAGGTTATGCTTTTCATGAGCATAATGAAAGTTCCTGTTCCTTTTGTGACCAAGAATAAAGATTCTGCCACTTGCAGTGCGGAAAAACACGTCCTCCCCCGCAGGCGCAGAATGCTTACTTTCATTTCAGTCAGCAGCTGTTAGTTTGGTGTGTTCCTGGGCAGCTTTTTGTTCCAGATGAGACCAGACACAAGTCAGCGCAAGGTGACACAGTTGGGTTTCATCTGAATTAGTTGTTTGTTGTTAACTTGATGTGTACTGGTGCTTACATGGATTAAAGCACGGCTGGCTATTATCGATAGCAGACATATGACCATCAGCCAAACTGACACATTTTGTTATGTGCACGTTAACTTTTAATTTCAAATAAGGCAGTTCAAGCACCTTGTTAAAAAAATTCATGATCTTCGCTTCCTGATTAAGACACAATATAAAGTGGGTCTCAGGCTGGACAAAAAACACTGTGTTAAATTTACTGATTTATAATAAGAAAATTTTTTTATTGGAGTTTCTCGTCTGCTGTTCCTGACGGTGCTTTTCATTGCGATTTATGCTTGGAATAATTTCTCTCGTTTTCTCTGACATTGTTCCATTTTTCCTTCACTCGGTTACTTTTTTGCTTGACCTGTTGATAAACCTCGCCGTCATCAAACTGTTCTGTTTTACCTGTCCAGCAGGTTATACCACACGTTATGCAGACAAGAAGTGATGCATTAAATTATTCTTTTTAAAACAATATCTAGATTACAACAATTTTAATCAATATTCATTTTGTAATCATTTCATTTTGATAATTCAGTTATAAGTTTCAGTCCTAATCCAAACCACACCAACAAGTCCACTTCTAAATGGCTGAACAAAAAAACTAAACAAAATGAAGACTTTGCAGTGGCTTAACCAAAGTCCTGACCTGAATCCAATTGAGATGTTGTGGCATGACCTTTAAAAGGTGGTTTATGCTCCAAAACTTTCGAATGTGGCGGAATTATGACTCTGTAAAGATGAAGGGGCCCAAATTTCTTTCACAGCGCAATAAAAAACTCATTGC